GACCACACACTGTTCCTGTTATTTAACCGGTACGACCACACACTGTTCCTGCATTTGTCTCTGTTGTTTACCTGTGCTGAAGCAGGCTGTGTATCTGTATACTCTTGCTGCTGTGCAGGACACTGGAAGAACACGCCCGGCGCTGCAAGGAGAATGACGTCCTCACATTAAAATTCACCGAGGAGAAGATGAACGTTGACCAAGCATTGGCCATTCAGAAGAAGAGCCACGAGAAGGTGCTGGCAAAATACAAGCAGCAATATCACGAACTGATCGCGGCGGTGAGTACGCTCGAATCTCTTCGCCAAGCAGTGACTTGTACTAGGGTATCATGTGACAGCTAGTGCGACAACACTAGAACAGCTAGAAAAGCGCAGTTTGCTAACTATGTTGTTTCGGTCAAGGTCTCTATATCATCACAAGTTACACTGCTACTGAAGTAAAGCATCAGGTAACGTCGATAGCGTCACGTGAACGTAGCATGCTCGATGTGTGATTTTCACAGCTTTTCATAGTGAGTTTCACGAGATACGAAATCTGCGATGATGGTAGCACTGTTCTTCTGACATTCATACGGTTTTCTGGTTCTGTATTTCAGGTGAAGCAGTATCACAACACACTACTGGATGCCATCACTTCATAACAAACTGGAAAAACTACTGCTGGGGTTAAACATCTCATCACCAATACAGTCGACAGTATAGTACAAGTGACTAGTATTTCTATGCATCTAATTTCTATTCAACTAAATTCTTTGTTATTAGTAAATTTTACTGGTTTTTGAGTTGTACACTTTTCTAGTTGTCTGCTAGTGTATTTGCGTATATAGTTTGAGTGGTCGGCATGCATGTAGATCCGTATGTATGTATAAAGATCATTTATTCGTTTATTACGTATCGTCAGGAGTACGTAATAGAGGGCATAATCCCGCTATTATTTTCTCCTGATATCACATTCGTGAGACTCAACCGATGTATTTTATGAAACAACTAGTTTCTATAGTCACATTCACAGCAGGTTGATGCTGTGCATTCTATAGTCAGGCAGCGAACCTGCACCTCCGCTGTCCATATTAGCCTCGTCTACACGACGAAATTTAACTCGAGTTAGCGATTATGTAGCGTCTACACGACAACACCCGAAGGTACACGTTCGTGTGCACGTACACGTGCGTGCATGCGTGTGTGTGTGCGTGCGTACACATGTGTGCATGAGTGCGTTGGTGCGTACGTGCGTGTGTGTACAGGTACACGTGCGTGCGTGCATGCATGTGCACGTAGACGTGCGTGCGTGCATGCATGTGCACGTAGACGTGCGTGCGTGCATGCATGTGCACGTAGACGTGCGTGCGTGCGTGCGTGCGTGTGGACGTACACCTGCGTGCATGCATGCGTGCGTGCGTGTGCACGTATACGTGCGTGCGTGCGTGTGCACGTATACGTGCGTGCGTGCGTGCGTGTGCACTTACACGTGCGTACATGCGTGCGTGCGTGCGTGCGTGTGTGCAATTACACGTGAGTGCGTGCGTGTGCACGTACACGTGCGTGCGAGCGTGCGTATGTACATATACGTGCGTGCGTGCGTGTGCATGTACACGTGTGTGCATGCGTTTGGATGTAAATGTGCGTGCGTGCGTGCGTACCTGCATATGCACGTACACATTCGTGCATGTGTGCGTGTGCACGTACACGTGCGTGCGTCTGTGCGTGTGTGCGCGTGTGCATGTGCAGGTAGACGTGCGTGCGTGTGCACGTACACGTGCATGCATGCGTGCGTGCGTGTTCACGTACACGTGCGTGCATGAGTGTGTGCGTGCGTACGTGCATGCATGCGTGCGTGCGTGTGCAGGTACACGTGTGTGCATGTGTGCGTGCGTGCATGTGTGCGTGCGTGCGTGTGTGCGTGTGCAGGTACACGTGTGTGCATGTGTGCGTGCGTGCGTACGTGCGTGTGTGTGCAGGTACACGTGCGTGCGTGCGTGCATGCATGTGCACGTAGACGTGCGTACGTGCATGAGTGCGTGCGTGCGTGTGCTTGTATCGAACAATATCACGCATCTGCTTGCTGCCAACCGTTAAACTGCGCATGGGCGCATATAACGTCAATGTTTATAAACATGAAACATCGCTATTCGCTAACTCGAGTTAAGCGTCTATAAGGGGCCTTAACTCGAGTTAGCTTAACCTCGATCGACTGGCAAGGTTAAGCTAACTCGAGTTACCTTTACTCGAGTTAAGGCCCCGTATAGACGCTTAACTCGTGTTTTTTACCGTCCCACTAATGCGTAAAATCGCCACCACACCATAGACGGTATTTGGTACTATGACACTTGTCTATAAGATAGCCGAGTCGGTTTACAGTTCAGAGGTTGATAGCATCAATGGTTGTATCTCGCTGACACTGATCTCCTTCAGAATGAAGAGTCTAACAAATACAATATGGACAGCGGAGGTGCAGGTTCGCTGCCTGACTATAGAATGCACAGCATCAACCTGCTGTGAATGTGTCTATGAAACTAGTTGTTTCATAAAATACATATCGGTCAAGTTTCACTAATGTGATATCGGGAGAAAATAATAGCGGGAATATGCCCTCTATTACGTACTCCTAACGATATGTAATAAACAAATAAATGATCTTTTATATGACGATAATAGTCTAACAAATACAACATATATGTTCGTGCATTGGCCAAACACGTTAAGTGTTGGCTGGACTTGTACATAAATGCTATTCAGTGTTTTTTTAGATAAACACAATTTTTTGTTCTTGCTTGTTTCATTGTTACTATGTCTGGCATGTAACATAAGAACGCAATAAACAGAAGAAATGTTACACCGAACACAACATGCATTACAAAATGGCACTGCAAAAAGAAAAACGACTTACCGAAAAAAATAATTTAACGTGAAACACCAAATTTCATTTTACACATAGTATATACAACCTTCCAACATACTGGAGTTTGGAAGAGGTTCATTAACTCTAGGAGGATAACATACTGTTGCACTAATATCATAAATGTCTGTCAATTGATAGCTAGGCAATACGAGTGGCCTCTAAAATTGTATATAAATGCAGCTAAACCAAGTGTTCTAGAAGACTTGGTATTTTTAATAGCCTATTCTATCGTGCAATCTCTGTACCTCTTGGTGGTATCAATCCACCATTTCGTGAATATATATACCTGCAATCAATAATAAAGCAAATACTTGATCAAATGTGGTACAAAAATCATAAAAAATAACCACATCCTGTAATAATAATTACAAATTTATTAATTTAGAAAAAGAACAATTTCCCACTGACAACTATGCTGGCACTAGTTATCGGCAGATGGAACTGCAAACCTAACACGTCTTTGTGACCAGAAAACAATGACATGCATAGTGAATGAAAAATGTCAAGTACTGCGAATTATGTTGCAAAAGCAAATGAAGCACAATATAAACTAGTAACACTGTTGATCATTAATCACAATCAATCAACACAAATTCGGCTACAGCTAAACACATCTACATACTGCAACAACTGCAATGCTTGCAGGAACACCTGTCACATTACACAATGCTTGCAGGAACACCTGTCGCATTACACAATGCTTGCAGGAACACCTGTCACATTACACAACGACATCGTCGCCGAGAGCGGCAAGGAGAGGTGAGCGAGCGTAGCAGCAGGGGGCGCCGCGTAGGTGAGCGAGCGTCCAGTAGGGGGCGCTGTGTAGGTAAGCATCTCATGAAGCTGCTAGCCGACATCGTCGCCGAGAGCGACAAGGAGAGGTGAGCGAGCGTCCAGTAGGGGGCGCCGCGTAGGTGAGCGAGCGTCCAGTAGGGGGCGCTGTGTAGGTAAGCATCTCATGAAGCTGCTTGCTGAGAGCGGCAAGGAGAGGAGCGAGCGTAGCAGCAGGGGGCGCCGCGTGGGTGAGCGAGCGTCTAGTAGGGGGCGATGTGTAGGTAAGCATCTCATGAAGCTGCTAGCCGAGAGCGGCAAGGAGAGGTGAGCGAGCGTAGCAGCAGGGGGCGCCGCGTAGGTGAGCGAGCGTAGCAGTAGAGGGCGCCGACATCCAGAAAGTCGGTAATTTGTACGCCCCTTGCATATAGAGGGCCACATGTATAGTTTCGCAAGCTTACGACTGCTACTCTACGCACAAGTCCTTGTTCTAACGTCATCTGCACGGGTGTGTTCTGACAGAGACATAATGAAGGAGGTGGATGACCTGGTTGAGAAGATGGCACACCTACGTGAGCAGCTGCGCGATCTAACGCACAGTAACGACCAGCAGAAGCGTGTCTTTGCCACCAAGCAGCAGAAGATGTCCAAGATGGCCATCAAGCATCGACAGCAGATCGAGGCACTACAGTACCAGTTGGAGGAACATAAGAAGTAGGTCTCCAAACTGTAATGTGCTGCTGGTGCTACCACAGCTGTTCCTGCGTTCATCTGTGCTACCACACACTGTTCCTGTTATTTAACCGGTGCGACCACACACTGTTCCTGCATTTGTCTCTGTTGTTTACCTGTGCTGAAGCAGGCTGTGTATCTGTATACTCTTGCTGCTGTGCAGGACACTGGAAGAACACGCCCGGCGCTGCAAGGAGAATGACGTCCTCACATTAAAATTCACCGAGGAGAAGATGAACGTTGACCAAGCATTGGCCATTCAGAAGAAGAGCCACGAGAAGGTGCTGGCAAAATACATGCAGCAATATCACGAACTGATCGCGGCGGTGAGTACGCTCGAATCTCTTCGCCAAGCAGTGACTTGTACTAGGGTATCATGTGACAGCTAGTGCGACAACACTAGAACAGCTAGAAAAGCGCAGTTTGCTAACTATGTTGTTTCGGTCAAGGTCTCTATATCATCACAAGTTACACTGCTACTGAAGTAAAGCATCAGGTAACGTCGATAGCGTCACGTGAACGTAGCATGCTCGATGTGTGATTTTCACAGCTTTTCATAGTGAGTTTCACGAGATACGAAATCTGCGATGATGGTAGCACTGTTCTTCTGACATTCATACGGTTTTCTGGTTCTGTATTTCAGGTGAAGCAGTATCACAACACACTACTGGATGCCATCACTTCATAACAAACTGGAAAAACTACTGCTGGGGTTAAACATCTCATCACCAATACAGTCGACAGTATAGTACAAGTGACTAGTATTTCTATGCATCTAATTTCTATTCAACTAAATTCTTTGTTATTAGTAAATTTTACTGGTTTTTGAGTTGTACACTTTTCTAGTTGTCTGCTAGTGTATTTGCGTATATAGTTTGAGTGGTCGGCATGCATGTAGATCCGTATGTATGTATAAAGATCATTTATTCGTTTATTACGTATCGTCAGGAGTACGTAATAGAGGGCATAATCCCGCTATTATTTTCTCCTGATATCACATTCGTGAGACTCAACCGATGTATTTTATGAAACAACTAGTTTCTATAGTCACATTCACAGCAGGTTGATGCTGTGCATTCTATAGTCAGGCAGCGAACCTGCACCTCCGCTGTCCATATTAGCCTCGTCTACACGACGAAATTTAACTCGAGTTAGCGATTATGTAGCGTCTACACGACAACACCCGAAGGTACACGTTCGTGTGCACGTACACGTGCGTGCATGCGTGTGTGTGTGCGTGCGTACACATGTGTGCATGAGTGCGTTGGTGCGTACGTGCGTGTGTGTACAGGTACACGTGCGTGCGTGCATGCATGTGCACGTAGACGTGCGTGCGTGCATGCATGTGCACGTAGACGTGCGTGCGTGCATGCATGTGCACGTAGACGTGCGTGCGTGCGTGCGTGCGTGTGGACGTACACCTGCGTGCATGCATGCGTGCGTGCGTGTGCACGTATACGTGCGTGCGTGCGTGTGCACGTATACGTGCGTGCGTGCGTGCGTGTGCACTTACACGTGCGTACATGCGTGCGTGCGTGCGTGCGTGTGTGCAATTACACGTGAGTGCGTGCGTGTGCACGTACACGTGCGTGCGAGCGTGCGTATGTACATATACGTGCGTGCGTGCGTGTGCATGTACACGTGTGTGCATGCGTTTGGATGTAAATGTGCGTGCGTGCGTGCGTACCTGCATATGCACGTACACATTCGTGCATGTGTGCGTGTGCACGTACACGTGCGTGCGTCTGTGCGTGTGTGCGCGTGTGCATGTGCAGGTAGACGTGCGTGCGTGTGCACGTACACGTGCATGCATGCGTGCGTGCGTGTTCACGTACACGTGCGTGCATGAGTGTGTGCGTGCGTACGTGCATGCATGCGTGCGTGCGTGTGCAGGTACACGTGTGTGCATGTGTGCGTGCGTGC